TATTAGAATAATTTGAAATTGGCATACATAAATAGAATTTTCAATTTAATGGTCAATTTTTAAAAATATTAATTAAAAGATAAGTTTTTAAATAAATTCTTAAAAAAAGTTTTAAGAAAACCACTTGCAAAATAATGTTTTCAAGAAAAAATATAAGTTGAATAAAATTGAAAAGGAACATAGATAAGCGATGAAGTCAGATCTAACTAATTAACTACGGGATTTATTTTCTTTTTTAAAAAATATTTTATTTACGTTAGAATATTAATATTTATTTTAGAATATTATATTCACATTGTAATTGATTATATACATTTAAGTTACTTAGTTTTATATCTAAAAATATTATATTGTATAGTTTTATACCTAGAAATATTCTATTGTATAGATCTATACATAGAACCTTTGTTTATACAATGAAAACAAGAAAGTAATAAACCATTTTTCAAATATTTCTCCTTCTTTCCTGTATTTAACATGGTATCAGAGCTATAAATTCTTGGGTTTTTTTATTATTATTATTATCATTGTTTGGTTTCAGAGTTGGATTTTCAGATCTATTCTGAATCTGAAACATTGTCGTTGGGTTCTCTTTTACTATAGATTAGATTGTTTATTCTCAATTTTTGGGGCTTTTTTGAGGTATTTTATTATGTTGTTATTTTGATCTTGGCATTTATTTCTTCATATTTTTAGAGTTTTTCATTATTGTGAGTTTTACTAATTCTATGGTGAGTTTTGAAAGGACTCTAACTCATCTTGTTACTGTTATGGTTGCCAAAGAAGTGATAGACCAACCTAATGTCAACCTTAAATCCCTAAAACCGGTGATATTAAATCTTTTTAATGCTCATACTGCCTTATATATTGCTTCAGGTACCAAACCTTGGTATTTTGATTCTGGTTGTTGTGACAATATGTCTTCAATTATTGTTCATTTCTCTTCAATGCCACCAAATAATTTCTTTCCTGATATTTATTCTACTAATAATTCTCCTATAAATGTTAGTCACATTGGCAATATATCTACAAAGGCATTGACTTTACCAAATGCTCTTTTAGTTCCAAAACTTAGTTATAATCTTTTATCTGTTGGTCAATTATGTGATCTTGGCCTTGAAGTAACATTTTCTACTCATGGTTGTCGTGTGCAGGACCCACAAACAGAACAACTTCTTGGAACTGGTTGCAAGGTGAGGCATATGTTTGAGCTTAATCTACATATTCCACATCATAAAATGGATACACCATCATTTCTAAATGATCGCTTCATCCAAACCTTACTATATGTTGTCGAATTAGAGTCTTTACAAATTCCATACTAGCAAAATTTTCAAGCCTGCATTGCCACTAACATTTCTCCTCTCCAATTGTAGCACTCACGACTCGAACATACCTCAGTCAGTAAACTTCATCCACTTATCTTTTGTGGTTTATCAGGATCTGTTCCAAATGAATCCTTGCATTGTGTGTTATGTCAATTTGCAAAGCAACTAACTTTGTCATTTTTGAATAGTCATTTTCTTTTTACTGCTCCTTTTGATCTCATGCATTTTGATGTTTGGGTTCCATCTCCTACACCACCATGGGGGGTACTAGGTACTTTGTGCTATTTATTGATGATTATACTCATTTTACTTGAATATATCTTATGAAAAATCACTCTGAATTGTTACAAATTTATATTAATTTTGCTACCATGGTCAAAACTAAGTTCTCTAAAATTATCAAAGTTTTGAGAACTGACAATGCTACTGAATGTCTTGGTACTAAACTTCAATCTTTTCTCAAAGAACAAGGTATACTGACACAACAGTCTTGTCTTTACAGTTTTAAATAGAATGGGCAAGCCGAATGCAAACACAAATGAATCCTTGATTCTGTTCATGCTTTACTCATTTTGTCTTCTTGTCCTAAGCGATTTTGGGGTGAAGCTGCTCTTACGGTTGTTTATCTCATTAATCGCATTCCATCATCAATCCTTAATAACTAGTCTCCATACGAGTGTTTACGTGGTATTCTTTGTGCCTATGATCTTCTTAAGGTTTTTGGTTATGCATGTTTTGTTCTTCTTCCACCTCATGAACATAACAAGTTAAAGCCTAGAGCTCGATTATGTTGTTTTTTGGGTTATGGGATTACACAAAAAGGATATCGTTGTTGGGATCTTATGTCACAAAAACTGAGTTTCACATCATGTTATATTTTGGGAACACACTATGTTCTCATCATTGTCAAACTTCAAAGTGTCATCCTTTCCTCAACCTCCATTTTTTTTACTAATCCTTTTGTTGAACTATTTCCAAGTGATTTTGATGCAGGTATATCTAATTTGCTTTACAATGCTTCACCACATACTCCAACTAGTTCTATAGAAGATGATCTGCTTACTGGTAGTGCATTAGATAATTCTGAGCCTTCTTTTACTTCCTCATCTGTATCACTTATTGATGTTGCATCTGATATTGTTGAGTCTACAAATGAGCTTGTTGTCCCATCCTTGAGTCATCGTACTTGGGTAAGAAACCTTCCCAACTACCTTTGCGATTATCATTGTTTTCCAACTATTACTTATTTACATGAGCCTCAATCATATCGTGAGGCCTTTGCTAACCATCTTTGGCAACAAGCTATGTAAAATGAATTATAAGCTCTTGAGAACACTCATACATGAGATTTAGTTGATCTCCCTATTGAAAAGTCTCTAATAGGCTGTAAATGGGTGTACAAGATCAAAACATGATTTGATGGTTTTGTGGAGCATTATGAGACACGCTTGGTTGCCAAGGGTTTTACACAGGAGTACATAATAGACTATGAAGAAACATGTGCTCTAGTTGCTCATCTCACATCTGTGCGCAGTTTGCTTACTATCGTTGTTATACGGAGATGGAAATTATTTCAAATGGATGTGAAAAATGCTTTTCTTAATGGTGACCTAGGATAAGAAGTTTATATGAAACCACCTCCTGGGCTCAACCATCCTCCAAACAAGGTATGCTGATTACGACATCCATTATACGAGTTGAAGCAATCCCCTTAAGCCTGGTATGCAAAGTTTAGTGCTATTGTGAGTGAGTTTGGTTTACTTCAAGTCCACATGATACAGCTTTGTTCATTCGTAAAATTGCTCGGGGTATGATTCTTTTACTTCTTTATGTTGATGACATTATTATTACTAGAGATGATATCGTAGGTGTTGAGGAGCTAAAACAATCTCTCAGTTAAAAATTTGAAATGAAAGATCTTGGTGTTTTGAGATTTTTTTGGGGCTTGAAGTCACCTTTTTAGATGATGGCTATCTGCTTTCTCAAGTAAAGTATGCCTCTGATCTTGTTTCTAAAGCTGAACTCAATGATAGTAAGAGTGTTTCTACACCTTTTGCACCTAATGTTGAGGTTACACCTATGGATGGCTCTCCACTTTCTAATCTTACTCGTTATCAGTAATTGGTTGGTAGTCTAGTTTATTTTACCACAACACACCCTGACATAGCATATGCAGTTTACATTGTTAGTTAGTTTATGGTTGCTTCTCGTTCCACTCATTATGCAGCAGTACTTCACATAATTCGCTATGTTAAGGGAACATTGTTTCATGAACTCCATTTTTCTGCTAACTCTTCCCTTGTTCTTTGCACTTATTCTGATGTTGATTGGGCTGGCGATCCTTCTGATCATAGATCTACCATTGATTACTGTCTTTTCCTTGGTAATTTTTTTATCTCTTGGTGGAGTAAGAAACAAATTATTCCATCTTGTTCTAGTGCTGAAGCTTAGTATAGAGCTCTTGGTGATACCACATTAGAACTTCTTTCAATATGGTGGCTTCTTGAAGATATGACATTCCTTAGTCTTCTTCTACTGATTTATATTGTGATAATCAAAGTACCATATAGATTGCTCACAATGATGTCTTCCATGGACGCACAAAGCATATCGAGGTTTATTGTCACTTTATTTATCATCATGTTGCAAAGGGAACTATTCGTTTGATTTTCATTAGTTTTGCTGATCAACCTACTGATTTGTTTACCAAGGCTCACTAGCTTCCTTGGACGCTTCCAAACTCAAGTTGGTTTCCTCACCACCACCTTGAGTTTGTTGAGGATATTAGAATATTAGTATTTATTTTAATTAGAATATTATATTCATATTTTAATTGATTATATACATTTAAGTTAATTGGTTTTATATCTAGGAATATTTTATTGTATAGATCTATATATAGGACTTTTTTGTATAAAATGAAAGGACCATGATTGGTGCACACCCGGATCCAACACCTGGGTGTGAACTCCCCACATAAAAAAAAAAAAATGGACCAGGTGTTCTTCATTTTTTTTTTTATGCAGAGTGTGCACAT